ACAGCCATTGCTGTGGGCGTGTACAAGAAGAACCTCGGGCCCGCTCCGCGCGCGCGCGCACCAAGCGACAACAGTGCCAGCCACCACCAGCCTGAGAACTTCAGAGGAGGGACCATCAGGGCACAGGGCATTCAGGAGAAGAGGTCCTGAGCAGTGCGCACTCACCCTGGAAGCCAAGGACCAGGACGTCCCTTTCCCTCCCGAGGGGGGCCGCCGACCACCACCACCACCACCACCACCACAACCACGACCACCACCACCACCACCACCTCTCCTCATCCCGTTCCTCCTCCTCCTCCTCCTCCTCCTCCTCCTCCTCCTCGTCATTCGCCTCTTCCCCCTCCTCCTCTTCCTCCTTCTCTTCCTCCTCCTCCTCGTCCTCCTCCTCCTCTTCCTCCTCCTCCTCGTCCTCCTCCTCGTTTTCCTCCTCCTCCTCCTCCTCCTCCTCCTCCTCCTCCTCCTCCTCCTCCTCCTCCTCCTCCTCCTCCTCCTCCTCCTCCTCCTCCTCCTTCCTCCTCCTCCTCCTCCCTCCTCCTCCTCCTCTTCCTCCTCCTCCTCCTCCTCCCCTCTTCCTCTTCTCTTCCTCCTCCTCCTCCTCCTCCTCCTCCTCCTCCTCCTCCTCCTCCCCTCCTCCTCCTCCTCCTCCTCTCCTCCTACCTCCTCCTCCTCCTCCCTCCTCCTCATCCTCCTCCTCCTCCTCCTCCTCCTCCTCCTCCTCCTCCTCCTCCCCCTCCTCCTCGTCCTCCTCCTCCTCCTCCTCCTCCTCCTCTCCTCCTCCTCCTCCTCCTCCTCCTCCTCCTCCTCCTCCTCCTCCTCCTCCTCCTCCTCCTCCTCCTCCTCCTCCTCCTCCTCCTCCTCCTCCTCCTCCTCCTCCTCCTCCTCCTTTTCATCCGCATAATCATCCTCCTCATCATCATCGTCCTCATTACAGCAACACCATCATCATCACCATCATCATCATAATCGCATAAGCATCATTAGCATCACCATCACCAGCATCATCAGCAGCAGCCCATCATCACCATCATCATCAGCAGCATCATCATCAACAACAACATCATTATAATCATTTCCCTCCCGCTCCTGAAATTATGATGGATCGATCTTCCCTGGAGACAAATAGAACTTGAGCCAAAAGCCCGCGGCGTGTAATGTTCTTGCAAAGGGGCCTAGAATTAACACCACAAATCTGCAGCAGTGTATCCGCATCACCACATCGGAACGCCATAATCGAACACCCCCTACCGGCTGGCAAACCAAATGTGGAAACGGGTGAGTTTCAAAGGGCCGAAAACGATTGAGCAACGGATTTCCTATATTAAAAGATCACTAGCGTAGGTTTACAATCGCGTAGACGAGAACATGGATGTCAACGTATCCTGGGCCGCCCAAGTCCCCAGCAGTTCGGCACAAAATCACAACCCTGATACAAACTAAAATACCATTCCGTAGCGGTAGCCAACCCGTGTATTTCTGTGTAACAGAATGTTGGTTGGTGCCTCGCCTATGCATGGAGATGCTGCTACTGCGCACATATGTGGTCAAAGCATATGCAAGGTTCTCCTCAGTTTCTACTTTGATCACTTTGATGTATCATCGTCGAACTTCTATGGCAACCAAAGTTGACAAATCTCGACGTGCCTGACGTTCCGAATCTCCGCCCGCTAGCAATTGCAATGGTTGCGCTGGCATCGGAGTTCGACGAGGTACCACAATCAGCATCGAAGTCCTCGAGAACTGTTTGTAGCCCTTCCGTTACTGAACCGCCCTTCACCGTTCCGCAATACGTTTCCCAACATGTTCGGGCGGCTGGTGCAGTGGGGGGTGACCCACATGGGGGGGGAAGAAAAGGGCGCGCTCCTTTTCCGCTATCTCTGAGCCACAAAGTGTTAAGCTGCAGGAGCAGAGAATGTCCAAAGCAAGGAAAGAAGCAGCCAGTGAGAAGCAAGCAGGACGGGTGATACGGGCAGGAGCCTGGTGGTGCGGAGGGGTGCATTGACTGAAAAGGGTCCCAAAAGGGGCCCTGCAGGTGCCCCAACGGGGCCCTAGAGGGCCATAGGGAGCCCCACCGACGGCACCAAGGCCACCGTCTGCGTGCGTCCCGAAGACCCACCACTTTGCGCTTTCACCCACCCAGTACAGCGCTTCATGGCCCCATACTGGGCAGTTTTTAGCACATGGGATTTTCAAAAATATTGGATGTTTAAATACATGATTAATGTATGAGTAAATTTGTGCATGAACGCATCGTTGATTTTATACTACAACCCCTGCATTTTTTATGCATGATCCGCACGCGGAGCATGTATTGAAAACGGCACTGTAGGGAGCTCCACCGAAGCCCCCAGTGGGACCGTCTGCGTGCGCCCCGGCAACCCAACTTGGCGTTTTCACCCACCCAGTACGGCGCTTCGTGGCCCCATAGGGAGCTCCACCGACTGCCCCAGTGCTACCGCCCGCATGCGTTGCCCCCCACCCAGTGCAGTGCTTCGTGGCCAGA